GAATTTTGGGGGTTTTTAGTTGGGTGTATTTATACTACTGAGGAGAGTATCGATACTTCCCCTATAGTATCGATACTTAGGGTAATAGTATCGATACTGGGCCATATTTTTAGCAGCAGAATATGTTTTTGATACTGATACTCATAGGGGTATCGATACTTGACCCTAGGTATCGATATTGCAAGTAGAGAATCGATATTACTCACTTTGGATGGTTAGATTTGACCTCTTTAAGGCTCTTATGAGCTAATGATGATCTGTAATGGTAGAACTTAGTCCGTAAGGGAAATGGCCAAGGGGCCCAGAAAAACTCATAGGAGTGGGGTACAATCGAAGTACCCGTAGTAAATGTAATACGTCCAAGTATCTTTAGTCAAGCACGTAACGAGTAACTAAGAATGAATGATTGTTATTGAGGATGTACCGACAAGTGATTTAGCGAATTAATCAGATTACGATGTAGTGGAGTCGTGTACTGCAAGAATGTCAGTGAATGGTGGACGTACAATTGACCCTCTAATTTGAGGGATAATTTAGGAAAAGCATAGTAAGAGCGATTAGAGTATTGCTACTTAGTATTGAACCTGAGTCAGGTATCGGGCTAGCGAATAATACAACCAATGAACAACAAACACAATAATAGTCGTTAAGTCACAAAAAGTGTAAAGACTTCTCCAAAGACAAAGAATGACTAAAACACCCTTAAGTAATGAATCGAGCAGAGCAGTTTTCTAGAAAAGAACGAGCGAGATAACAACTAGTGAGAGGATGACCTCACTTTAGTATGTCCAACTAAGCTAGCTTATAGTCAAACTATCTTAGTTGTCCTAGTGGGGTATTGTCAATGTGCGAGACACTTCAGTGGCTAACTAGAGCGCTATAAGTAAACACTCACGAGGAATAGGTTAGCGTTGTTAATATTATGTGGCCTTTGGGCCCTTAGACATGCATGTATAGTTGCATCAATCTAGTACAACAAATATCTTAAAAGCTTGCTTGAAGGCTATATGAGACTGAACCAATGCTTCAGTTGGGTGGGAATTGTACCGATGCTATATGACATCGGGTTCCCTCAGTTAACTAGTGTCTGATGGCTATGTGAGACCAGATACTAGTCAGGATTACATTCAGATAATGTACAGTAAAGTCAGTGTTATATTCAGATAATACACATGATTGTCAGTATCTCATTTAGATAATATACAACAGTTATATTCAGTGTGGTTAGAGACTATTATGAGGTATGCTCATGGAGAGGCCCTTAATAAAGGATTGAGGGAAGTATGAGACTCTTACTTCAACGATAGAGTAGTAAAACCTTAAATATGTAGCACTTGGTTGAGATAATGCATGTACCTACTGCTTAGTACAATGTTTTTAGCATGATTATGTTTGTAAGACTCATAATACTACTCTAGATTAGTGATTATACTACTGGCCTTCGTAAGCTCAACGTTCGAATGTTTTCATTCGCAATTTTTTAGCTTGGGTAGTTCGTGGAGCACCATCGCAGTAGGACTTCCAACATCTCCTTCAAAGCTCTGTACTGTAGCTTTAGTTGGCATATGTTTCATAGAATACTCATGTATTCACTTTGTTAAACTCCGAGTTTGTATTATTTCAGTTTTAAATTATGTGTCTCGGAGCTCCGATTTTTATAAAGTATTTTTATAACTATTAATTACATTTGTATGATATCATTTTGTATGTTTTAAAAGATGAATGAATAATTTTTTAAAATCAGGGGTTGTCTCAGTAGCCCAATGTGTCACTTTAGGCTCAATCGGGTTTAAGGTGTTACAATATATATTAGAATTGCTCTGATATGTTTATGATAATTAAATGAGTTTTAGTAATTAATATGTATGTATTTTAAATAATTAGTACTTAATTATATTAGTTATGAAATGGATTTCTAAGTTAATATTTGGTAAATTATATTTTAAATACTATCAGGAAGAATTTTAAATTAGGTTGTTTCACTCTTTATATGGAACGATATTGAACTGTCATGTTGATGCCTGAAATCAAATGTGAAAAATATTTTTAAATATTACTTTTTGGTTTTACGTGATTAAATAGTTTTGGTGATAAATGTTAAATTGAATAAATTCTTAAGAAACAAAATTTTACTTGTTTTTGAATAAGGAATTGTTTTAATGTTTTATGTGATATATCTGACCCGTGTTCGGTAATAAATATGGAAAAAATGGGTGTTACATACACTACTCCTGTAAGACTTAGGAATCAATTTGGGCCTTAAAACAAGCTTTTAGAGAGGTATTGGATGTGATTTTCAAGCTTGAAATGATCAAATCTGAGTTCTAGTACGATATTATTCCTATGATATCTATATCATAAGAAATTATACTAAAATTTCAGGTAAAATATGAAAGGAATACCATTACTTATTCTAAATGTATCGATACTAAACCTCCTATATCGATACCTAGGTAAAATGTTAGATTCTAAAATGTCAATTTGAACTCCACCCAAGAGTATTGATAACTTAAGATACATATTGGTTTATACCTAGGTAAAATGTTAGATTCTAAAATGTCAATTTGAACTCCACCCAAGAGTATTGATAACTTAAGATACATATTGGTACTCTATGCTTGGTATTAATACTCAAGTTTCTTTAAGCTTCATTTGGTTTTTAAATTGATGAAGGAATTGATTATATGAGCCTAAGGGTGCATTTGGTTCATGGAATATAATATTACCAGTGGGAATGTAAGATTACCAGGGAATAGAATTTATTGGGAATGTTGTATTTTGTGTTTGGTTGGTTTAGCAGAAATGTAAGATTACCATGTTTGGTTAAAGGAATAAAAGAATATTAGAATTTTTATTTGATCAAATTGTCTTTATTATATATTTGTTTTTTAACAAGTTGGAAAATATTTATATATTTCTTTAAAAAATTTAAATTCATAAAATTTATATAATTTTTTTTACAAAATTGAAAATATAAAAAGATTTAATGAAAAGGTAAAATTTTATTTTAACTCCTGAACTTCATATAAAATTTTAATTATAGATTTTTTTTGTAAATCTAAAATACTTTAAGGATAAATTTGAATTTAACATTCGTAGAATTTTTATTATTCAATGACAAAAGAAGAATATTTTTGAAAAATAATTAAGGGCATTTTAGTCCTAAACGCCGGTAATCCAACAATACCTAAGGAAAGAGAGGTAATACATTCCTGGTAATATACCAAAAAAAATCCACTATTGATAATCTTACATTACCGGGAATGAGATTCCCGGCTAACCAAACGGGAGAATGTGAATTCAATTCCCATGGGAATCCCACATTCCCCCAACCAAACGCCCCTAAGGGATGTCTTTATTCACTAAATGACTGAAAAATCCGTAAGTGATAAAAATTACTAAAATGATTTTATAAGTATAAAATTACAAAAAGTATCCCTATAAATTTAATGATTGGATTTGAAAGTTTTAACTTGATGAAATGTGCCAATTATCATTAGGTCATATCTTAAAGAGGCCTTGATCACCCTAAGTGCTTGATATTAGTGGAAATGACTTGAATGCTAAAATGAATAAAATATACTTATATGTTAAATGATTAAATTACCTTATATAAAAGAAAAAGGATAATGAATTCCGTATGATTAAAATTATCATTTCATAATATTTTGATAAGTTTTATTAAGGGTCATAAGTTATTAAAAAACAATTTAACCCTTAAGCATAACACTCTAAGAAAGAATGAGCTATGTTTGAGAATAAGTTGTATAGTGAATTGTGAGGAAATGTTTGTTCCTAATTGATGCATAATTGTTGTGAATATTTAATCAAGTTACATTGATTGGCCTTAATGGGAGATGTTTGATTTGTGTGGCCTATGAACACATGTGTGTGGTACTGCGTACGGTGATAAATTATCTAGATATATGTGATTAAGAAGTCAGAGTGCTTAGAAATACCATATAATCAGGGACCGAGCTACATAGAGGTTGGGAGGGGCTGTTGCCCCACCCAAAATTTTTGTTATAATAGCATTTTAGGTTCTTTTTAGTTTAAATGTTAGTTAAATAAGGTTTTTGCCCCTCCCAAACTTTTTGATATAATAGTATTTTAGGTAATTTTTAATTTAAATATTAGTCAAATAATGCCTTTGCTCTTCCTAATTTTTAGATTTAAATGCTTAATAGATTATTATTCTTTTGATATAAAACAATTTTACCCTCTCAACATTTGATCCTAGTTCCGTCCCAGCTAGGGGTGGATGTATGTTGCTCCCTAGGGAAGCCACTGATCATCCATTATTTTAAAAGTGTCAAACTTAGTTTAATTTGTTAATGAAAATAGAAAAAAAAATTGCGTACCTAAATTCTTTAGTATAGAGCATTCAAGTTTTGGACCCCAATTGATTAATTTCTAGATCCGCCACTACTGGTTCCAACATACAATCATTTCTTATGTTATATTTATAGAAATTACTATATAATTTCTTAGTGAGACCGGGTACCAACTCTATCATTGATACCTAATTGCTTACTGATATTGGGTATTATTGTCATTCATTACCTGACTGTTTAGTGATACATGTGTTATAGTTGTTGATTATATTTTCTTTATAAATTACATGATGCTAACTGATGCCAAGTAGCTTATGGTTATTATTATGATTGTAAGAATAAGTCCTAAAGTCAAGGAGTAGATTGTGATTGATGATACTCCTGGGTGAAAGTCGGTAAGCATGAAATACATAAACTGATAATTACACATTTAATCTCATACACCTCTACTTATACTTGTCTTGCATACTTATATTTATGATGATATGTATAATATTTTAAACCTAAATATTAAGATCAATCGGCTCCTTCTTTAAACTAATGGCGTTTCCTAACATAAGTTTAGATCTACGACAATCTTAGTCTATAAAAATTGCTCTCTTCTGTACTGAGTTTTCTGGTGTTGGGGGGACTTTAAAAAGTGTTACATAATTGGAGGGAGAGTACCTGTGGTAGTCTTGCCAGTACTGCAGTTGTTGCCTCAAGCTTGATACCTCTTTTTTCCAAAACTACCAACCACAAAATCAATACTAATGATGAAAAATAGGATATGTAATGGTGATTGTTTTCAAAATTTATGGAGAAAATAGAAGAGAAATGATTACCTTCAGTTCAGAAGAAGGATTAAGTAGTTGATGGTGATGTTCCTCTTTAAGCTTGTTGTAACGTTCTATAACAGATTTCATGCTGAAATATATGACACATATTCCAAATTCAATATACATATTCACTCTAAATCAATTATCAATATTAATTATAAAAAATGGAGATGCCGAAATTATTTGAAGAAACAAGACAGACCTGGTGCTTGCAAAATGATGGAGCTTGGAAGTACTGGAAAAGATAATCAACCCAACTTCAGCATCGCAGAGAATGGCCAACTCCTTTGCTTTCTTCAATAACCCATTCTTTCTTTTCGAGAACGTCACTTGTCTGCTTGATGAATTCTCTATCATTCTTATCTCTACCTTCCCTCTTCTCATTTGCTTCTCTTTTCCGGGATCGATCAAAAACTGACGGAAGTTATACATAGAAGGATGATATTAAGTAATCGATTAAAACCCTAAAAATAAAAAAGGCAATTTAGGGATGCAAATCAGTGTAAAGATAAAAAGCTTATTTGGGTGTAAGTAATCGATTGAAACCCTAAAAAAAGGGGGATTTAGGGATGCAAATAAGTGTATTACCTGGGTGTAAGCTAATAATGGATCAAAGTTTAGGGAAAGTATATGTGTGTTCTAAATGGTAGGCCGAAAGCAGTTTTCAGACATCAGGTAAAACCTCTGTTACGACTTAAAACATGGAGCCGAAATCTGCTTAGTGGTTTTCATTATAGGTCATTGTGCCCTACTCTCCGGAGTGGCTGAATAGTTTCCTACTTGCTTTACTGAACTGACATCTGTCGGTAATCTAAAAAAACTCGTTTTGAACGCTGTGGGAGAATTCCTGGATACGGAGTTGGATTTTGAATGGAAATATGTCGGCAATATAAGCCAAGTAGCATAGAGTTAGTAATCAAGAGAGTGGGGAAAGTATCCCGGTACCGACATTCGGAGTGGGCCAGGATTCGTGGGAGGTGTACCCGCGTTGAAACCAGAGTTATTGTATATCAACATATAGATGATGGACACGTATATTTGTTAATAAAATTGAAGGATTTTTATAATCTGATCATTTTTATTTTACTAAGGTTGAATAGCCAAAAAAAGTGACAAACGTAGGTCTATTTTTATAGTTTGGTATCAAACATTTCTTTAGGTCTAATTTAGAATAAACATTTTATTCCATTTCATAACTTAGGTAGTTAATTTCAATCGTTAAATGTCAAATGACATATTTTTAAAGTAAAATATACAAATAATCCCCAAACTTCTAATAATCTTGCATTTTGATTACCTGTTCTTCGTTTTCTTAACCCCATCCTTACTCATCATACTCCCCGCCCGAGCATATCGACCGACTTGTTTAATGAAATTGAGCAGCCTAACCTCTTTCCACCAATCATAATTGTTCAAAACAACAAAGTTTGAGTTCTTTTCAGAACCCAGATCTGTATTTTTACTAAGAATCTTATTTACAATCTCCATGATCCCAACAATGTTTTTTTCCAGTGTATTCAAAACAATTTCAGGTCTTTCTTGGCTTTTACCAGAAGGGTCACTAATTCTACCGGTAGCTCCACCAATCAAGGCGACAACTTTGTGACCACATTTTTGGAACCAAGAAAGTACAATGAGACCCAAAAGATTCCCCAAATGCAAGCTCTCAGCAGTTGGGTCAAAACCATAGTAAACTTTGAGAGGACCAGCAGTCTGGTCTGAACAAACCAAGCTGAGATTTTCATTGGTTATGGATTCAAGCAATCCTCTTTCTTTAAGTATTTTAACAACATTCGTCATGCTACCCGTTTGAGATTTCGGTTCAACAATTGGCTGACTGTTAAGGCTACAACATACGTAAGAAAAATTGAAACTTTTAATGGGTCTTTTAAAAAAAGGGATAACCTTGGTTGCAACAAAAGGTAGGAGGAATTTCCTATGATTGAAGCAAAGGAAAGTCCTTGAAGCCATAAACAGTTTTCTTTTTTCAAAATTCTATTTATTTCTTACCCAAAAAGTGGTGCTGGTATTCTGGATTTCTCTTGAAATGTGGTGCTGATCCGGAAGTAACAATGAGGGGAGATTGTCTGCGGAGGAAGGACTGCATTTCGGTGAAGGATCTGGGCGTCGAAACCATCTTTAGCATTTTTCCCATTTGCGTACGGTATGACAGATTGGACAATTCTACCTGGTTTTACAGTATAAAGCCAAAGGAGAACAAAATTCTAGCATCAAAAGAAGAAGAAGAAGAAGAAGAACAGGTGACCAAAATGTAAGACTATTAGAAGTTTGGGGATTATTTGTATATTTTACCCTAAAATATATGTCATGTGACATTTAACGGTCCATCATGACCAGACACCAAATTGAATTACTAAATAAAACGTTTGTCCTAAATTAGACAAAATAAAAAAGGTTAGACACCAAACTAGAAAAAGATATATATGTTGGACGTTTTTTACTATTAAGCAATTTATTAATCAAAAGTGATTATAGGTTGTATTTGATCTTTTTTTATTCAATTGATAATAATTTTATATTTTATATACGTAACTGCTCGAATTCAGAATTAAGGAGAAAAATTATATTTTATTATTGAAGTCACTTGAAAGGTATTTTTCATATTATTATTTAATACACTGTCAATATAAAATTCTTAATAAAATAAATCCTTTGAAATTATCTAATTTATTTTACTCAAAATTTGCTAATCAAATACCAGTGATAATGATTGAAACAATCAAATATTGTAAAATTATGTAATTTAAAAGTAATGATAAAAGAGATAGAATCCATCAAATGATCTTAGTGGTTAAGGACGGTGTTGTTTTCTTTAGATGTTCTGGTTTCAAGCATTTACATTTATATGATGTGCGCGCATTGTCAATAACTAAGAAAGATTTTAAATAAATCTTACCTTATAATTACCCTGAACTATGAAAAAACAATAAAAGAGATAAAAACACAATATGAGAATAAAATTTTTAGTACTTTTTTTTTATTAATTTAGGGTGATTACAAATAATAGTATTTGTTCTAAAGACTCTTAACTATTTGACAAAGAACGCTCAAATACTATTATAAGAAGGTGAAAGAGAAGTGTGTTGGGATTTTGAGACTCTATGGACAACTGAAAATATAGCCAAAATGGGGTGAATTGACCTTTTAAAAATTTTGGGAATGAAGGAGCAAAAGATAAACAATATGAATAAGATTTAGAGTGGTTCAACTTCCAGATTGAAATCTACATACACTACTTTAGCTCCGCACTAAGGATTTTCTAACAAACTCATTAATTTGTTCTTTCTTTTTCTAGGCTCAAGAGTAACCTTTACAAAATCCTTAGTTTTCAATGGCTAAACTAGAACTACTCCTCTTTTACAAAAAGATAACTAATATAAACAAGAAAAATCTCTCAAAGGTAGGTGTTTACAATTTGAACTCACAAAAACACACTATGTACTAGAGAAAACAAAGAATAAAGAATGAAAAAGCTTTTCTCTTGATCTTGATTGCTTGGATAGGTGTTGTAATCTTCTTCAAGTGTCATAGACTTGTTTTTATATGTTGAAATGAATTTGTAGTTGTTTCTCCGTTTGTGATGTTTTGGAGTTGTTGTGGATTAATTTTCAACAAAACAAAATAACCCAGAACATGGAGTATCGATACTTAGGCTAGGAGTATAGATACTTCCTTTTTAATATATAAATAAACTTGCTGTTAAAAACTGTTGGGCTTAACAATATCAATACTATGATTTCATGGTATTGATACTACTGTGTAAAGTAGTATCAATATCCTTGAGTATTGGCATCAATTTTGCTTGTTGGAATTTGAACACTTTGGAAATCAACAAATAGTATTGATACTTCTCTTAACTGTGGTATCAATACCTTAAGAATAATATAAGTATTATTTATGCAATATCAATACTGTAAGAACTATATCGGTACTACTTACCTAGGAAATATGTTTTATGTTCAAATTATTGTGTAATGGACTTTGAATTATTTTTGAAAACTTCGAATAATTCAATCAAGTCCAAAAACATTTTCCCTTAATTTGTTATATCAAAATTTTGTTCAACAATATCCCTTTTATGATACAACAAAAACATTTAAAAAATAGCTTTTGGTAAAACTCCCCTTAATAAAATATTTCATGAAAAAGAGAAATATTTTGAAAAATATTTAAGCTTCCTTTTTTCATATTTGAAATAGATTTTTTCAAACCTATACTTCTCTCCCTTTTTGTTATATAAAAAATAATTCAAATTTTTAGGTTCAAAATAACGATGGAGAGTAAGTAAAAAACTTTAACACAAAATAACTTGAAGCATTTTAAGGATTCTACTCAATAAAAGTATTTCATGAAAAAAAGTTATGACACAAAAATTTAACACTTAAAGAATATTAAATTTCAACAAAGATAAATAAACATGTTAGTAGCACATAAAATTCAATAAATCCAATTCTATTATACTTTATGCATTAATTAGAAATAAATCATTAAAACTCACATGCATAAAGCACTACAAAATGTTATGCATTTGAAAATTGATATAAATTGTTAGAGATATATCATTTAAGTGAAAACACATGCATAATAATTCAAATTAAGGTCAAGGTTTAAAAAATCGTTTAAAAAATATAAAACATAACTTGACCAAAAATCATTATGATGAATTAAACGAAAAAAGTTAACATTCAAAAACATTTTCATCATAACATATTTTTCAACATATATGACATACCAAATAACATATAAACATTCATGCTTAACGCTCATGCATGCATAAAGCAAACTAGGCAACCAATATAAAAAATAAAAAAACTTTAAGTTTAGAGGTTACTCATCCTTTTTCTTGTGTGACTAGAGCATATGAGATTTTTTACCTTTATCACCATTGCTCCAACACACACTTGTAAATGAGACATTCATTTGTAGTCGAGGGCTAGTACCAATGTCTCTAGTTCCCAAGGGAACTCATACATGTCTAATTTTAAAATATTTTCATTTCTTTATAGGACAAATATATACATTGTGACCATAAAATGACAATATGAGAATTTTCCATTTTTAAAATAGATGAATTGTTTTGAGAAATGAATTCTTTTTTTTTTGTTAATCATTCTAGCTTAACTTTCAAATTAAAATTTTATTTTTCTAAATCTTCAATTTTGATTTTTGAAAACTCAAAATCACTTTTCAAAATTCCATTTTGTTTTTCAAAATCTCATTTTGTTTTTCAAAATCTAATTTTGCTTTAAAAATAAAATCGTTTTCATTTTTGAATTTAGAAATCAATTTCTTATATTTAGAATTCATAGTCTCAAATTCCAAATTCATCATAAGCTTCTTGGAACTCTTTAAATGAATAAGAATTTAAATTGCAAGAGTTAGAAGTTACCCTTGAATCTGCTTCGATGGTCATGAGACATAGGTTGACTATTTCATCTTCATCATTGGAGTTGTATTCATCACTCCAAGCATCCACAAATGCATTCTTTTTGCTTGATCCTTTCTTTAAGAAGGGACAATCATACTTGACACATTTTGTTCTTTGGAACTCAAAGCACACCGAGGGACCCTTATTCTTGCTTGATTCATGCCTTATTTATTTTCCTTTGGAAGATATGAATCTTTTGAAGAGCTTGGTCATCTCTTCATCTTCATCCGCCTCTTTACTTGAGTCTTTACTACTTTGATTGGTGGACTTGAAGGAGA